AACTCATCCAGCCCTGTATGATTTCTGGATGAGTGATAAATAGGTTAATCCAACTGAGGCTTTTTGTATCTTTCTTTCAGGATACAGACATTTATCTTGCTGGAACAGACGAGGGCCACATCTACCAGTGCTCTTGCTCAGGCAAAGAGCAGGTTCTGGGGACATACAGAGGCCATAAAGTGAGTGATGCACAGAAAAAATAATGACAGCAGAAACCATTCAATTAAGTTAAAAAATGTAATAGTTTCTTTGCTTATATTCTGCAACAAAAGAGACCTAAACTTCTTTTTTTATATTAGGAATGAATTCCCATGGCATGGAGTATCATACTCTTACAGGATTACTTTCTGCATTATAAGGATTTTTAAAGTAACTTATTAAAACTTCTATAAACTGGTTTAAAGTTTTAGCCCTGGCTCAGAAAAAAAAATCAGTAATGTGATTGTCCTGTACAGTTAAATAGTCTTACTTCTGAGAGAAAGATGGGTAGCTCTACAAGAGGTTCTGAAGCTCTACAGTAACACCAAGTTGTTTTCGTTTCTCCCCAAACTCAAGGGTCCTGTGTACAGAGTGGCCTGGAATCCATCCAGCACAGACATGTTCCTAAGCTGCTCTGCAGACTGGAGCACCATTTTATGGCACCGGGACTCACAGACGCCCCTTTTAACTTTCAGTTCTGTCACAGCTTTTGTTCATGACATCATGTGGTCCCCAAAATCAGCCTTCATATTTGCAGCAGTGAAGGAAAGCAGGGTAGAAATCTGGGACCTGAGTGTCAGCATGTAAGTAATGACTTTTCTCAATGAAGATTCTGAAACCTTGCGGCACAAAGGTTACAAATTATTGCCTAATCAAAATTATCAGATCAGATTGTGACAGCTTATTCAGTTATTGAAAGTACTGCATCTTGAAATACTCATTTTGTAAAAGCAGATGGTATTACCAGAGAACTGGGGTTAGAACAGGAACTGGATGCCTCATGGAGCGGATAAAGTGTAAAACTGCCTTTTTTTTTCTGCAGAAATCAGAGATTTTATCACTGCCATAGTTAAAAGGCAAAATATCAAAATGGAGCTACTTTTATAAAATATGATGGTCTGAAGCTGAGATATCTCTTGTGTTTTCCCAATCCTGTGCCCCACAGGCACAACTAATGGGTGGCTCAGTTATCTGTGGCCTTGCACAGCTGGTCTGTATTTATTACTGGCAGTGTGAAACCCATGGTGGATCCAGAGACCCCCAAATCCCACAGCAGCATAATGCAAGTTATTAATATAATACACATATCACCCACCACCCCCCAGATCAGGCAACAGGACAGGTTTCAGGCAACCAGGATATCTTAGTTAATAGCAGATGGGAATTTTGTTCTGGCAGAGACCAAGCAAAATATTGCCCGACTTCCTAGTTTTTGAGTTAATCTAGAACACAAGAAGTGAAATGTGCAGCATTTCTCAGGCTGCTGGACTGACAGGTCACTGCACTATTAACAGTACCCATTAACTCCTGCCTTGTCTGGGTTGCAGCTTCAACCCCCTGATCTCCCACACTGCCAACCCAGAAGCCAATCTCACGTCTATCCTCTTTGCCAAGAACACCAACTGCCTTCTGCTGGGAGACAGCCTTGGCGGAGTTGGGGTGTGGGAGCTGTTCAACCTGGATGCTCCCGGCAGCAACAAGGTACGACACGCTCGGAGAAGGGGGGTGTGCTCGCAGGGCTGAGAGCTGCTCTGGGGCCTCATTCCTCAGGAAGAGGCTACTGTGAAAGATCCAACTAATGAATACTGAAATAGGTCAGACCACATACAGTTCCATAACCAGATTAAAGCTGAGGTTGTTCCTGCTCTTCTGCTGCCATACCACTAGAAACTTCAGGAACACTTCAGTCAATGTCAGGTTCGTTGATCGCAAGTGAAGGTCAACTGCAGGTTTCACTTGGTTGCAAATTCAGAGGTTCACCACAGCTGGATTTAGGAGGCAAGGGGTGACACCCTCTAAACAGTCTGCAGGAGACTCTATTGGGCTGAATGCCCTCACCTGCTCCACCACAGACACAACTCATCCTCTCCTGGCCACCAACACAATATCTCACCGTCTGAGTGTCAGACCCAGCAGCCCCTTGTAACTGTGGCCAGTTTATAAAGTAGGACTACTGCTTTTTATAAGTGCCTTCAGATTATATGGCACAAAACACTAAAGCTGGAGAGAAGGAAAATGCTGATGTCAATCTATCTTTCATTCTGAGGTATTATGGATCAGTAATTCACAACTGTCAGCATCGCAGGTAGAAATCTTGGCAATTACCAGCCTCATTTGCCAAGTGCTGTAAATCACAATATTTCCCTTAAAAACAAAAAGCAAGGCCATTGTTGTTTAACTTAGAAAATAAAATTAGTGGGTTTTTTCCCACAAACCACATGAAGCTGCCTGAGTCCTCTGAGTAGAGAAGTTCATCAGTTATTCAGTACAGGCATAATTTCCTGGGTATGTCACCAGAACAGAACTGGAAGTGCTTCACTTCACAGGCTTTAGGCACATGGCATAACTGGTCACATTATCCAGAGAGAGCCCCACTTTCCAGCATCACCCATGTCTGTCACTCCCTTTTCCTGTAGCAGCAAGGTCTCCCTAGGCTTGGGTATGGACAAGGCTTGGCATGACCATACTACAGGGATACTACAGCTAATGCTCAGGGCAGGTAATTACTCCAGGACAATCACATCTAAATGCAGCTACCATACATGTATCACCTTGAAAATTAACTTCCTTTATAAACAAGATATATCTGTGTATGCTTTCAAACATGACAGTACAAACGCAATCCAGCCAGGTCTGCCAAAAAGGGCTATTTTCCAGGAGTACTCTTAGAGGTAACCATAGCATTACTGAATTCCAAGGAAGAATCAGCTCTTTTTCCTCTTGTTTTACAGGCTGGTACCTTGCATGACATCGTTTGTCCAGTTGGAGCTGTTTAACAGTAACTGCTGCCCCTTCTCTGTTGAGAAACAGCAGGAAAGACTCGATGTAGTATGACCATTTATTCCTTTGCAGTAATTAAAGTTTCTCTTTGAAGCCACACCGGTTAGAAACTGCTTTCAAACGCCCTAACTTTTCCCCTGGAAGTCCCCCTCCTTGGTCACACAGTGACCATTAATACATGGATGGCCTTCTCTGTAATACAGATAATGGGAAGGTCTCCAGAGTCTTTTCTCCTTTAGTCTTTATCCTTTTTCTCGCCCAAGGTCTTTTCTCCTTGGGTTATTCAAAACCAAAAACTACCTCAATGATACAACCTCAGCCCTTACTAGATGTATCTGTACCTTCCCTGTGAAACCATCCAGTAAATAAATGGACTTTCCATCAGCTCTGTCTTAGCCCATAACTCACCACTGAAGGTGAATGCTGAGCTTTGAGTGACGTCATGCAGGGAACTTGCTCAGCTTGCATGCTGGTTGGAAACAGGCATTGTTTGGCTGCCTAGGCTGGATTTTGGGAGGGCAGAGCAGAAGAAACGAAAAAAAAAAAGATTTTCAGGGACTTCCTGCCCACAGAAAATACAAAGATCTCCACAGAGCAGTGATCAAGCACAAGTTGTAGCCCTGCTGCCCGGCGAGCACATTACATATGGAGACGTGTATTTTATAGATACAGAACGTTCAGCCTCTCTGATTACCCTGACAATAAACATCCAACATTTAACACATCACTGAAGTTAAGGATCATTTGTGATGCATTAACATTCACTTCCTTCTATGTGCTGCACATTCAATAGGGAACATGCAAACTTACCCCAACATAAAATAAATCTTTGTGTACTTCAAAGACAGACACCCATTAAGGTGAATCATGTGTTAATCATTATTACAAATCTGAACAAAATACACCACGTATTTTCCATCATCTGTTTGCTTACCAATGCTGCAGCTACAAAACAAGCTTTCTGTCAAGGCTATAACACATCCTAACCCATCCTGCACACAGTGAAAGCTAATTAACTGTAACATCATGGTGCTGGAAAACTCTTGTGGTGCTAGGAAGGGCTCAAGATCTTCGAAGTTCCTGTATTTTTTTGTTAAATGTGGAATTTTCAACCTTGTATTTGATAAATTTCCTCCTTAAGGCATTTTATTGCAAGAATTCTTTATAGAAGCTTACAGCAACTGCAGCCAACAACGTCCCAAGCATTAGGAAGGGGCCGTGTTTGTAACCAATTTACTGATATCTGGTTCCAGAGCAGCTCTCCACTGCTTTAGTGGACCCACTTCTGTCTTCCAGGTGTTACCAAAAATCAAAGGATGTCCAGGATGCTGATCTGTAGCTATTCTGTGCTTTCTTCAGCGCCATCTCCCCCTCTTTTCTATACCTTTTTGTACAAGGGCCACAACCACAGGCCTCACAGCCCCCAAACCCCCTCAATATCTGATTTTCTCATGGGTGCCTGGCACTGGCAGGTTTTTTCCACCCAAGCATCCTCAGTCACCAGCTTGGCTTTTGAATAAGGCAGGGGAATGACGAGGTGCACAACTGCAGACTTCATGGGAAGGAGTTAACTCCCTTTTTCTTTGAGACCACTAACATTGAAGGATCCAATTTTGCTTAAACTGGGATAAGAGGCAGGACTGGGTAACAGGCTGCTCAGCTCTCCTTTGTGGGGAACAGACACAGAACCCATTACCTGCAGATCATGTCATAAACACCCTTTTGCTCTTGCAGAACACACATTACAGCGTCCACCTGAGTCTGTACCCCATAAACATGTTATACCAAATGTGTTCCTAGTAAAGCAGTTACATAGCCTTAAGAAGAGTTTAATACCTGACCAAGATCCCAAAGCACTTCAAACATGACCGGAAACAAGTGATTAACGTGTTTTTAGCAAACATGAAGTCACCCTCAGAACGGGCCGTTACCCAGTGGAGCGCACGGGGCGTGGGTATAAATGGGAAGGTTCCAGCAGAGCTGCTCACTCGGCCTGGCCGGTCCCTCCTGCCCTGCCCACACTAGGCACGAAGAACCCTCGGCACCATGAGGGGCACAGCGCTGGCACTGGCCTGTCTCACTCTCCTGATCGTGGCACAGGGAGGACAAGGGGAAGGGAACACGGTGAGGCTCTGCGGGAGAGACTTTGTCAGAGCCGTTGTGTTCACCTGCGGCGGCTCGCGCTGGAAGAGGCACCTGACTGATCATCACTACCTCTTGGGTAAGTACCCAATGAAGCATCACAGGCTCAACCCCGGTGCATCCAGCTCTGAGGGGACTCAGAAGCAGCAAATCCCCTGCACACTGTGCCTCAGGAGCCCTCCACTCCCACTGCTCTCCTCAATAGCTCCAGCACCAGCAGCACGGGCTGCACTGGGAGACAGTAAGTGAAGCGCTGCAGCTCCACGTGTTCTCTCTCCTTTCAGCTTGCCTGGCTTAGCTCTGTGTGCTATTCTGCTAAAGAGAAACAATTTAGCTCAAGATTTTCCAAGTCCAGCTGAGGAACAGGAGTTAAATCAAGGCTATCACTGAAAATCTCTCTGCCATCCCAAGTGCCAGCAATGAGCTTTGCTGCAGGTAGTGCAAGTGTCTTACTGCTGCCTGCACTTTCCCTACTAGAAACCAGAAACTTTATCACAACTTAAGAATATTATAATTAAAGCATGCTGAATATTTACTCTGCAATTTAAGAATTTTCACAAGCTGTCATATATATTTATACTCATTAGCACATTTTTGGATAGCCAGAAAATTCAGCCATTACGTGCACTGCTAGGAATTTGCACTCTGTCAGATTAAAATATATAGAAAACAAGAAAATAACTAGGCAGATGACAGGAATAGAGACTTTCTGCACTTCCCACACCTGCATTTTTGGAAAATTCTCTTATAGCAGCAGCTCTAAACAAATACAAAAAGATATGCCACCCACAACACTCTCCCTGAGAGTCTGGTGCTAAACTAAGCAAGAACTACTACACCTTTAAGAATTGTATAAAGGTGTTTAAAATGTAGCTGAATTGCAAGAGTAATTGAAGTGGGAACACCCAGGACTATGAAATTGTGGTGTAGGTGATGCCTTAATGTAAAACCTGCATGTCGGGAATCCCACAGGCAGGTCCAAGTTATTGTGCCGGTCAAGTGCCACTTACACATCAAACCAGTTTTTCCCTTGGAGGCAAATATATCAGTGTAAGACTGACAAGGCAACAAAGAATACTCTTAAATATAAATCCATGAATTACTGGGTTTTGAAACACATTGCTCACAGACCGTGAGCAAGTTAGTGGTCTGGTACATGGTGGTTACTCACATCAGAAACATGGAGGGTAACACCATCAGCTCCCTGGCTGTAGGTTGGTGTGTCTTTCTAGTAAAGATAAATACTTAAATTACTCATCTTTCTGTGACTTTTAACTCTTAGCTTCTAATTTTTTTGCAACAGAGAGTGAAAACCCCCAGCCTTTCCCACACAATGGTGACGCCGACTCCTCAACCTACACAGACCAGAGGTTGGGGACTGACCGCGAAGAAACCCACGAGGTCAAGTCCAAGCCAGAGCAAGACTTGCACCACACCAGCAAAATGTCTGTGCTAAGCAAGCGTGAGGCAGCCAAGCTGCTCACCACATCCTGCTGCAATGTGGGCTGCAGCAGGAGGGAGATCAGCTCCCTGTGCTGACACGGGGCTGCCGAGGCTCAGTATCACAGCTTCCACGGATTAAAATAATCATGACATAAACCACAATTAGTTCAGTTGTGTTCTTTAATTGTAGCTTTACCCTTTTGAGTGTTAAATGTCATAGTGCACACTAGCAAGTGGCTCCAGTGATAGTTCAGGTTGACTGGGTTTCACAGTGTTTACAAGAGGTTTAGTTAAACTCAGTCATGAGTACAAATATTTCTTTCTAACTAACTACTGTCCTAGTTTCAGCTTTGCAGGTAAAATGTAATAAGCAATTTATGATAGGTTAGTCTTCTTACTCAGGAAAATCCAACAGCAGGTTTCAGCCGGGAAACAGGAGTAGCAAAAAAGTCTGGTTTCAGAATCAGGGCAAGGCACAGAAAGCTCTGTCACACTGCAAGGTCAGCCAGGCCCCAGCCAGTGGGGAACGGCTACATCGGGAGAGACCTGGGAGCATCAGCACCAGCCTCTAAACTGGACAGGCAAAACCCACAGCTTATCTCCTAATCCACCTGCTTTCAGTAACATTTCCCAGAAGTCCAACTTAACAGACAATTAATTTGCACCCAGGGAGACTGAAAACACACTTCTGAGCTGAAGGCTGTATTGCCTCTTTTATCTAAGGGCAGGAATTGGCTGAGAACCACAGTTGAAATCCATTATTCTCAATTCAAGCACTTTCACTAGAAGGGCCCAGGTATGTCAGATTTATGTACTCTAAACATGGTATCATTTAAAAACAATCTTCCCTTCACTGGTCTTCTTCTTCCTAGATGGACAGGGACTGACAAGGGCATGGAGTGGCAGGACAAGGGATGAGCTTTAATATTCCTTCCAACCCAAACCAGTTGAGGATTCTATGATTCAAGCACAACCAGCTACCTTCGCTCAGCCACCTTTTCTGTGCTCAGGCCTGGCATGCAGTAACTGCCTGCAAACATCATTAACAGGGATAGTCTTAAAATGCTCTTGTTTTACTCTCCAAAAAACCCTCTCTGGTTTCTGCTTGGGGACCATGGAATGAAGGCAAATTCAGGGAGAAAAAAACACTATAGGGAATATTCTTAAAATATATTTTCCCTGCAGGGAAAGTTCTGAAAGTAGCAAGAATCAGGTGGAAAACAGTGTGTCAGAGAAAACCACTTCCCAGAGAAAGCTCTGGGAAACAGCTAATTACATTCACCCAAAGGCTCACAGCAGCCAAATTTCAAAACAGGTGAGAGTACTTTGGTCCTTCAGAGATGTTTTCAACAACAGAAACAGGAAGAGTTAGGCTGAACTTCCATTTCTCCTGCTGTTAAGCTTGACTACCTCCCTATTCAAAATACACACCATAGACATTTGTAACAGCAAACAGTGAAGTGTTCTTGAACACATACGATGAAAACGTGTCGCTCACAGGATCCCATAGGCACCTGCTCCCAAACTGCATGCTCTGCTCATCCAGCTGCCCAATGTGTGTCACCACCACAATCTTGTACCTTGGGATCACAAGGTCTTTCACCCGTGCTTTAACCACCTGCAAGAGAAAAACTAGTTTAGTCCGTGTGTTTAAAGATGGAGACAGACGTTTAGCAGGGCAGGACAAGGGGGAATGCTATTGAACTGACAGAGGATGGGGTTAGACTGGATATTGGGGAAGGAATCCTTGGCTGTGAGGGTGGGGAGGCCCCAGCACAGGCTGCCCAGAGAAGCTGTGGCTGCCGCATCCCTGGAAGTGTCCAAGGCCAGGCTGGATGGGGCTTGGAGCAACCTGGGAGAGTGGAAGGTGTCCCTGCCCATGGCAGGGAGTGGAACGAAATGAGTTTTAAGGTCCCTCCTAACCCAAACCATTCTATTAATTAACCTGTATCCACGTGCACCTTCCTCAGAGCAACCCTTTATTTCACACTTTAGAGGTATTCTGGGGAATATCTAGGGAGCTCCCCAGCAGCCACCTCCCTCACACCCCATCGAGCCACGCGGGCACAATGTCCACACCTGCTCCCTCCTACCTCAGTGATGTCCTTCGCCACCTCCCTGCACTGCGCCGGCTCGTAGCGCTGCTCCCTCAGATAACTCTCCACCACATCCCTCAGGATCCCATCCACTGCTGCCACCGGGAAGCGCTTGGAAGGACCTGTGAGGCAACGCTCGGGTTTATGAGGAAAAACCTGCCGGGCGGAAGGCGGTTTGGAGGTGCAGTCGTAGCCAGACCCCCCCGAGCGGGGGTCACTTATGGCCGAGCCGCCGTCCATCCCCCTCGGCCGTTCTCCATCCCCCCGGGCGGAGGGGAGGCGGAAGGGCGGCGGCCAGTGCCGCCCCGCGGCCGCCGGGAGCGGGAACCGCCCGCCACATGGGTGGTGTCTGCCCTCCCGCCCTCCGCCCGTGTCGTCCGCACAGCCCCCCAGGGGACTGTGTATTCTACTGCTGCCGTGGGTCCCCATAGCCTACACCGGTCCGTGTGTATCCCTATAACCCCACCCAGGTTCGCACGGGTCCTCACAGCTCCCACCAGTCCCTGTGTGTCCCTTTAACCTCCCACAGGTGCCCACAGCTAACGCAAGTCACCGCAGCTTCCATAGGTCCCTGTGTCCACTTACAGCCCCCTAGTTCCTCATGGCTTTCACAGGTCCTGGTGTCCCCTTACATCCCCCACAGGTTCCCCATGGCTCCCACAATCTCCACAGGTCCCTGTATTCCCTCACAGCTCCCACAGGTCCCCAGAGTCCACAGGGCCCTGCATGTCCTTGCGACTTCCACGTTCCCGCAGACTCCCCTAAAGTCCCCACAGTATCTACAGGTTCCCACATACCTAAAAGTCCCAGGTGGCCCCATGACTACTTATTACAGTCTCCACATGTTCCCACAGCTCCCTTATATCCTCATGGCTCCTGAGGGTCCTTGTAAGCTCCTCAGGTCGCTGTGGCCCCCACAGGTCCACACAGCCCCCCCAGATGTCCCTATGGGGGACATTAGGAACCCCACAGGTTCCTATAGCCCGCACAGATTCCCATGACCCCTGTGGATCCACATAGACCCCACGTGTCCCTACAGCCCTGCCATGTCCTCATGGCCTCCATGGGTCCCCTCAAACCTGATCTGTCCCCATGGTCCCTGTGGATTCCCAATGTCCCTGCATGCCAACCCTGACCTGTACCCGTGTGGGACATTGTGCATAACTCCAGCAGCAATGACAGGTTTTGGGCCAGAGACACTTTTTCTGGGCAAGGGACCCTTTTTTGGGCCAGCCCCAAATACCCTCTTGCCTGTTTCCTCTGGGTTCTCTTGCATGTGGAAGCAAAGCTCACTCAGAAAAAGTAGTGTTTTACTGTTTTTTGTTTATTTCCAAGGAAAAAAATAATAATCACATTTAAATTGCAACTCAATTGGGTATTTAATGTGGTTCTTATGTATAGAATTAATAAACTTTGTTCTGACATGGGGATTTATCTGTCGCAACATTATGCATGGTAAATAATTGCATATTCGAGATTCGGTGAAATGGGTGACAGGGAGAATGGAGGAGAGACATTTATAAAAAACAGTATTTACAAAAATGATATCCACATAGTCGTACTCTAATCTATAAGGCAAGTAACATTTAAAATATGTTGTTTTATGATTATCTTCAACAAGTCAATACAACACATTCATATTACCAGTGGTCAAATACAAAGCTTCGCTGCAGTAGTCCCTGTGCAACAAACCTGTACGTCTTTTACTTTTTTTTTTTCTCTGAGAACAGTAGGAAAGCAGCAAAGTTTTCATCACAGACTAAGCAGTACCTAGGCCATCGTAGACTAAAGGTATAATATATCTCATTGCACGTTTAGGCAAAAAAGGCCAGCCATTCATTAACTTATTTAACTTAAATCTTAAAAATAGACCTGTGTATTTTAATCCACAAATATTTATAAACATTTTATACATGAGGGAGTTCATAAAATGATACAGGGTGATACCTGGGGAAATCTGATTCACTGCTGGAGTGTCCTGGTGAGGTTCTCCTGCATCCCATGCTCTCCGCCCACCAGCCCTGGCTGCAGGAGAGAAGCTTCATAACACATCCCAACTGGATTCCTTGCTCAGACCATGACCAACATCTCCACGTTTTATATAATCCAAGCAACCAGGTGATTTCATCAACCTTAAAGCATTTTGGAGTAGAAAAGCCCATCCATGTGTGGATGAGGAACCTGACAGCACGATGGCTGTACCCAGAAAGAGGGGATTTCTAATGGAGGAACAAGATATCCCAAATGCCTCACTAAAACCTAGTGTGTTTCACCACATCCTGCATGGCCTGTGCTGAGTTGAACTTGTCTGAAAACCTTGGAAGAGCATCACCATACTAACACTCGTGGTTTCAAGAACCATTGGCAGCAGCATCATCCCTCCTAAAGGGAAAGGGAAGGCAGGAGGAGGGCATATTCCTGCAAATCTTTTCCTAGCCTTGCAGTGAAATAAGAATTAAAATCCTGATTGAAATAAGAACTAAAATCCTGATTATCATAAAACCTCCCCAGCTGTGCAAGGATTACTTTCCTTGGGAAATGGTGAGAAAAGAGGAACAGAAGAATTCTGGCTGTGAAATGAAATCTTTGAGGCAGTAATTTCTTACCAGGAAAGTATGACATGATGTTACATATAAAATATGTTAAGCTTCAAAATTAAGTGTTTTAACAAAAATGTTTTCAGATAAAAACAACAGAAGAGTAGGAAAAAAACCACTCCATACTCAGTGTATGGATGTGGGGTATTTTTTAAAGTAGATGTTGGCTGTTTGGGTAACAGATCCATGGGCTGTATGTCAAAAAAAAAAAAAAAGGTGGAATGGAGATGGAGCAGGATTCCTCTGTGACCCAAAACTGCCCCACGTGCCCAGTGGGCACAGAAACAGTTGCTGACAGAGGTTGGTGACCAAGGATGAGGTCTGCATGATTTTAGGAAAAAATGTTTGATTCCTTCTTAAATAATTTAAAAATCGTCTCAGTGCACTCCAGTCTTTTAAAATGCTTCTGCTGGGAGAAAGGAAAGTGGTGACTCTTTATGTGATGCTTGTGCTGGAGGAATCTCGGGTGGCTGCAGCCTTCCCTCCCCATCCCCTTCCTGCCTGGCTAAAACAGGATGTCATTCCAACAGAAATTTGTAGGTTTTTCTCACCTATGTTTTAAAAAACTTTTGATAGATAAAACCTGAAAGGGCAGATCAAAGGCAAATTAATTTAAATGAAATCCTGACTGACAGCAAAAATAAGAAGTATTAAAGAGGAGAGCGATATTTAAGAGGCACCGAATGCAGGCACCTAATGAAAAGCTTATTATTTGGTACTATTTCATACTAGTGAGTGATTTCATAATTATTAAGAAATAGCATTAAAGTAGAAAATTGGTCTGAAAGGTCTCCTGTGAGGAGCACCATAAGCTGAGAATCCTGAATGTTTACAACAAACAGGAGAAAAGTTACCAAAAAAATGTACTTCCTGCTCCTGACATCTAAAAACCCAAGTCTTCAGGTGTCTGTGGGGGAAAACCCTCCTGCTCCATCAGAGGAACTTTGACTCTGCAGGTGTGGGCTGCTGAAATTCCCTGGGGAAAATTCCTTTGGGAGAGGTTGCTGAGACACAGTCTAAAGGGAAAGGTCCACGGGAGTGACTGAGCTAAAGCCTTTCTGTGCATGCATATTTTTATTTAATGCCTCCTTTATTTGTCCTTATTTTCACTCAGATAGATCTGAGTGCTGCTGAGCTCAGGAGTGCCAGAGCTGGGCAGTGCCAGAAGGCTGAACCCCCTTTCCAGCCTGGCTTGGCAAAAGACCTGCTGGACCACATGCTGGGAAACAGAGCAGCGGTGCTTCCCTCTAGGAATGCTCCAAGGGCTGGAGCCCCTCTGCTCTGGAGATAGGCTGAGAAAGCTGGGGGTGTTTAGCCTGGAGAAGGGAAGGCTCCAGGGAGACCTTAGAGCCCTTCCAATGCCTGAAGGGACTCCAGAAGAGCTGGAGAGGGACTTTGGACAAGGGCTTGGAGTGACAGGACGAGGGGCAATGGCTTCCCACTGCCAGAGGGCAGGGTTAGATGGGATATTGGGAAGGAATTCTTGGCTGTGAGGGATAAACATCCCTATACATGCTCCTATGTGATGCTCTACATTAAAAATTCATACCAACCTAAGCTGCTGCCCATAACCCTTTTCTGCTGAGACCTTCTCAAAGCCAGGCAGGAAAAAGACCAGGCTCTTGCACTTTGGACTCGGGAACAACAACAGGCGTGTTCCCCACGCTGGGGGGCCACGTTCGTACATGTGCAAGAAGACAAACACCCAGCAAAAGCAGCATCCCTGTGGCACTCTGCTAAAACACTGTGAAAAAAAACTGGCCAAAGCAGTATAGGAGGAACCTGTCCCCTGTCCCAAACCACTAGTTTTGGTCCCAGTGTTGTGGGTTTGGTCATGTCCATGGCTGGAGGGGAAATCCTATCACCGTGGGGCTGGAGGTGTGATGGCACATTGGACACAGCCCTACCAGCCAATTCAACCCAGAAAGTGCACAGAACTGTCCCATCTCTCTACTCAGGCCACAGGAGCTGCATCCCAAAAAAGTGACCTCAATTTTGTGCCACAGCACAAATGGGATGAGCTTGGAAGCTTTGGGTTATGGGTTTTTCTGTTTAAAAAGCATTCAAAAACCCAATGCTATGTAAACACCTTGTCTTTCGAATGAAATATAAAGTAAAATCTCTATGTTCTGGTAATATTTACACAATAAACCCCTTATTTTTGGGCCTAGGCCATAGATCTCTTTTGAAAGGATGAGTTTGTAACAGTTGTACACAGCATGAAGCAATGATGCACAAACTGATTCTTAGGGTTTGCCCTGTATTCCTGTGTTAGAAAGGGGTGGATTACACACTTTATACATATTTCCAGTTCAGGGGGAAAATCATTAATGGAGTGGGACACTCCATCCAGGAGCACTGCTGAGTGTACTTCCAAAATCTGCCAAGATGTGGGAAGCTGCAGAACCAAATTGTGCTTTATCTTCCCTGTTGCTGCTTTTTGTGAATGCACACACACAACTCACCCCTCAATCATACAAATCGCAGCCTGGGAGTCACCTCAGACCTGAAATATCTCCAAATTTCCTTATTTTCTTTTAAGATGGGCACAAATCTCTGTTTTTCTACTAGTTTCCAAACTGCTTGATGATCAAACACTTCCCAACATGCCCAGTGTTCCAATGCAAATACACAAGCCTAATCCTGGCAACATTTGTGACTGTAAAATCA